CCGTACACGCTGTCTGAAATGGTAAATGAGGTTTCTGTGTATTCGGAGGCTTGTAAAACAGTAAAGTAAATTCCTAAAATAATAGTAATGAAAAGGGCTTGAATTATTGGGATTCGGTTACCTTCTATGAGGCTGTGATGGGCTCATGTAATTGATACTCCGGAGGCTAGAAGGACAGAGGTATTGAGTAATGGTACGTCTAGGGGGTTTAATGGAGTGATTCCAGTTGGTGGTCAGCATCCCCCTAGTTCGGGAGTGGGGGCTAGGCTGGAATGGTAAAATGCTCAGAAGAAGCATGCAAAGAAAAACACTTCTGAAATAATAAATAGGACTATACTGTAGCGAAGGCCTTTTTGAACTACAGGGGTGTGGTGGCCTTGAAATGTTCCTTCGCGAATTACGTCTCGTCATCATTGGAATATAGTAAGGACACTAGATAGGATACTCATGAGGAGGAGCGTGACGGATTGATAGTGGAATCATATTACTATTCCTGATGTTAGGAGGAGAGCTGATATAGCTCCAGTTAATGGTCAGGGGCTGGGGTTAACTATATGGAAGGCATGTGTTTGGTGTGTCATTAGGTGTTGTCATGTAGGTATAGGCTTACTAGTAGGGTAAAGACGTAGGCTTGAATAAGGGCTACTGCAAATTCTAGGATTGTTAGAAGTGTGAGGATAATGAATGCTGCCAGCGATCCGATTGGGCTAATAGAATAGATTGCTAAGGCAGCTCCTCCGATTAGGTGAATTAGGAGGTGGCCAGCTGTAATGTTGGCTGTTAGTCGTACGGCGAGGGCTATAGGTTGGATTAATAGGCTGATGGATTCGATGATGATAAGTATTGGGATTAATGGTAATGGAGTTCCTTGTGGTAGAAAGTGGGCTAGTGATGATTTAGTTTTGTATCGTAATCCTAGTAGGACAGTTCCTGCTCATAGCGGGATAGCTATTCCTAGATTTATGGAGAGTTGGGTAGTGGGAGTAAATGAATGAGGTAGGAGGCCTAGAAGGTTTGTGGAACCAATAAAGATGATAAGGGATGTAAGTAGGAGTGTTCAGGCACGTCCTTTTAGGCTGTGCATGCTTATTATTTGCTTAATGATTGCGTTTATGAGTCATGATTGGAAAGTAGTGAGACGATTATTGATTAGTCGTTTTGGTTGTGGAAATAGGATGGATGGGAATATAATGATTGCAATAACGAGGGGTAGGTCTAAGAGTGTAGGGGTAGTGAAAGGGGTGAATAAATTTTCGTTCATTTTAGATCTCAAGGATTAGATGCTTTGGTGTATAGAAAATTTTTGGTCTGTGGTTGTGGGTGGAAAGTGAAGGTTTTAAATTTTAATTGGAAAATAATAGGGTAAGTGTGGTTCCTATAATGGTAACAAATCATGGTGATGTATCTAATTGTGGCATATCATTATGGGACAATTGGTGTCCTGTCTTTAACTTAAAAGGTTAATGCTTTAATAGCTTCATAATGGGGTCTAAAGTATTGTTGTTGATCATGATTCAAAATATTTAAGTGGGACTATTTCGACGACAATTGGTATGAAACTATGGTTGGAACCGCAGATCTCAGAGCATTGGCCATAGAATAGTCCTGGTCGTGTAGATGATAGGGTGGCTTGGTTTAGTCGTCCTGGGATAGCATCTGTTTTGATTCCTAGTGAGGGTACTGCTCACGAATGTAGTACATCTTCTGAGGAAACTAGTATGCGGATGGGTAGATCTATTGGGAGGACGACTCGGTTGTCTACTTCTAGGAGACGTAGTTCTCCAGGTTTAAGGTCAGATGTGGCGATTATGTAGGAGTCAAATATAAGGTCGTTGAAGTCGGTATATTCGTAGCTTCAGTATCATTGATGTCCTATGGTCTTTACTGTTAGTGCTGGGTCGTTGATTTCGTCTAATATATAAAGAATGCGAAGGGAGGGTAGAGCAATCATAACTAGGATAACGGCTGGAAGAATTGTTCAGATAGTTTCTACTTCTTGAGCATCCATAGTGCTAGTGTGGGTGAGTTTAGTGGTTAATATCAATGAAATGATATATAGGACTAGGGTGCTAATAAGAAATATGATTATGAGAGTATGGTCATGGAAGTCAGTTAATTCTTCTATGATTGGAGATGAAGCATCTTGAAGTCCTATTTGAAGGGGGTAAGCCATAGAGATATATAAGTATTAGGCTTATAATTTAACTTTGACAAAGTTATGTAATTAATTTTACTAATATCTCATTTTGAGAAAGACATATTGGATATGGGACTGGCTTGAAACCAGTTTTAGGGGGTTCAAATCCTTCCTTTCTTAGTTGGCCTGTTTTATATAGGCTGGTTCTTCGAAGGTGTGGAATGGTGGTGGACATCCATGGATTCATTCAAGGTTTGTTGATGTTATTTGCACTGTTGTTACTTCACGTTTTGATGCGAATGCTTCTCAGATTATGAAAATTATTAGGATTACGGCTGTTAGGGAAATAAATGAACCTATAGATGAAATTGTGTTTCATGTAGTGTAGGCGTCTGGATAGTTGGAGTATCGTCGTGGTATACCTGCTAGTCCTAGGAAATGTTGAGGGAAGAAGGTCATATTTACACCAATAAATATAATGGTGAAGTGTGTTTTAGCTCATATGTCACTTAGTGTATAGCCGGTAAATAGAGGGAATCAGTGAACGAAGCCTCCTATAATGGCAAATACAGCTCCTATAGAAAGAACGTAGTGGAAATGGGCTACTACGTAGTATGTATCGTGAAGTATGATGTCTAGGGATGAGTTTGATAGAACAATTCCGGTTAGTCCACCTACTGTGAATAGGAAAATGAATCCTAGTGCTCATAATATGGCTGGCGATCATTTAATATTTCCTCCGTGGAGAGTAGCTAGTCAGCTGAATACTTTCCCTCCTGTTGGGATAGCAATAATTATTGTAGCAGATCTAAAGTAGGCTCGAGTATCTACGTCTATTCCTACTGTAAATATATGGTGTGCTCATACAATGAATCCTAGGAATCCAATAGATATTATGGCTCACACTATGCCTATATATCCGAAGGGTTCTTTTTTTCCTGAATAATATGTAACGATATGTGAGATTATTCCGAATCCGGGAAGAATGAGAATGTAGACTTCTGGATGGCCGAAAAATCAAAATAGGTGTTGGTAAAGTACTGGGTCTCCGCCTCCTGCAGGGTCGAAGAAAGTTGTGTTAAGATTACGATCTGTTAGAAGCATAGTAATTCCTGCAGCTAATACTGGAAGGGATAGCAGAAGAAGGACAGCTGTAATAAGGACAGATCAGACAAATAGGGGTGTCTGATATTGTGATATTGCGGGTGGTTTTATATTAATAATAGTAGTGATGAAGTTAATAGCTCTGAGGATAGATGATACTCCTGCTAAGTGAAGAGAGAAAATTGTCAGGTCGACAGAAGCTCCAGCATGTGCTAGATTTCCTGCTAAAGGTGGGTATACAGTTCATCCTGTTCCGGCTCCGGATTCAATTATGGAAGATGCTAATAGGAGAAGGAATGAAGGTGGTAAGAGTCAGAAGCTTATATTATTTATTCATGGAAAAGCCATGTCGGGTGCGCCGATTATTAGGGGGACTAGTCAGTTTCCGAACCCACCGATTATAATGGGTATTACTATAAAGAAAATTATTACAAATGCGTGGGCAGTAACAATTACATTGTAAATTTGGTCGTCTCCTAATAGGGAACCAGGTTGACCTAGTTCTGCTCGAATTAGGATGCTTAGTCCTGTTCCTACTATTCCGGCTCAAGCACCGAAGATTATATAAAGGGTTCCGATGTCTTTGTGATTAGTTGAGAATAGTCAACGGTTAATGAACATAGGTAGAATGGCTGAGTAAGGCATTAGACTGTAAATCTAACTACAGAGGTTAATTCCTCTTTTTACCAGTGAAGTCCTGAGGTGCATCGCATGTTGAATTGCAAATTCAAAGGAGCAGCTTCAATCCTGCCGGGACTTCTCCCGCCTCCTTTCTTTTTTTAGGCGGGAGAAGTAGATTGAAGCCAGTTGATTAAGGTGTTTAGCTGTTAACTAAAGATATGTAGGTTAAAATCCTATCAATCTAGAAAGGATTTAGCTTAATTAAAGCTATTGATTTGCGTTCATTAGATGTAGATGGAAGGTCTGCAGTCCTTATGGTCAGAAATTAAGTTTATGGACTTACTTAGAGCTTTGAAGGCTCTTGGTCTAAATTAACCTAAATTTCTATATAATAGTTGTGATTATTGGTGTTAAAGGTAAATAGAAGGATGAAATAATTAATATTGTAGGGATTGTTGTTGGGGCTTTTTGGTTCAGATGGTGTCATTTGAATCTGGTATTGTTGGATAGTGGAAATAGGGTGAGGGAAGTTGAATAAATTAATCATATGTAAAAGAATAGGTTTAGAAGGGCTATTATTGCTATGGCTATACTGGTTGTGATTATGTCATTGAAGATTATCTCTTGGATGATCAATCATTTTGGTAGGAAACCGGTGAGGGGAGGTAGACCTCCTAGGGATATTAAGCATAAGAGGGTTGCTAGGGTTATTAGGGGGTGTGAATTTCATGTTGAAGTAAGTGATGAGGTAGTTGTGATGGATAGGGAGTTTAGTGAGATGAAGAGGGTTGTAGTGAGGATAATATAGATGATTAGGTTGAGGATTATTGTAGAGGGGTTGTAGATTATTACTGCTATTATTCAGCCTATATGGGCGATTGATGAATATGCTATGATTTTTCATAGTTGGGTTTGGTTTAGGCCTCCTCAGCCTCCTAACAAGATTGATAGAATAGCTATGGGTAGGATTAGGTTTTTTTCTATGAATGGGGAGAGTTGGTAGAAGATTGAGATTGGAGCTAGCTTCTGTCAGGTTAACAGAATTAATCCGGATAGCAGGGGGATGCCTTGGGTAACTTCTGGGACTCACAGGTGGAATGGGGCTAGACCTAACTTTATTGCTAGGGCGATTAGTAACGTTAGGGATGTTAGTGGATTGGGTGGTTGTTGAATATCTCATTGTCCCGAGTGGTGAAAGTTGTTTGTGATAGCGAATATTAGGATTAGGGATGCAGTTGCTTGGGTTAAAAAGTATTTTGATGCAGCTTCGGTTGATCGTGGATTTTTATTAATTGTTATGAGGGGAATTATAGATAATATGTTGATCTCTAGACCCACTCATGTGAGTATTCAGTGTGAGCTTGTTATTGCAATGGCAGTGCCTAGAATCATAGTGAATATAATTAGAATAAATGCAATGGTATTAATTAGTATGGGAAGGGTTGGAACCAATGTTTTCGGGGTATGGGCCCGATAGCTTAATTAGCTTACCTTACTAGGATTTGGTGTAATTGGTAGCACGGAGAAATTTGAATTCTCAGGTTAGGTTCGAGTCCTAAAGTTCTAGAAATAAGAGGACTTGAACCTCTATGTTTTACTCTATCAAAGTAGCTCTTTTGTCAGACATATTTCTATAATATTGGAGGGATGCTTGCTGTGGAGATTGGGATAGCAATATACCATATACATAGGGCTAGTGTTAGTGGTAAGAAATTTTTTCATAATAAATGTATTAGTTGGTCGTAACGGAAGCGTGGGTAGGATGCTCGAATTCATAGAAATATTGATGATAGGATTAGTGTTTTGACAGCGAAGTTGCATGAGTGAACACACATGCACCATGGAAGTCAAAACGAGGGGCAAAGTTAGTTCCTTTGATTCAGATGCCCCTGATGGTCATAGGTCCCCTTTTTATTCCCCCAATTGGAGGGGATGTATGGAACCCTATGCGATCTGTGAGAGATACCTGCTAGACGCGGACACCTACAAACCATCAACAGAGGGGCGGAGTGCTGGGGAAGTAACCTACTAGGAGGTCTACCCTGGAAGGGAAGGGCCACCTGAGAACATGGACCCTAGGCCACAGGATTTGCTTCCCCAAGCGTATCCGGTCAATCTGGCACCAGGAGCAAACAGGCCCTTGGAATGGTATCCATGGGAAGCTAAGGATCTTAAAGAGCTCTGCAACAAGGTGGTGGAAGATGGCCCAAACTCTCCTTGGGCCCAGAGCTTATTACAGGACATTGCTTACCACCCAGGTGTCCCTAAAGCCTGGCTGGATGTGGCTAAAGCCGTCCTCACCAGTTCTCAGTTTATTAAATGTGTGCTTTCTTTAAGGAGGAATGCAGAGGGCAAGTAGAAAATAATTGTCAGGTTCAATCCACGATACTTATTACTTATTCCATGTTAACAGGGACGGGGAAGGGTACTCCACTGGCGTCAAACAGGCGGAAATACCTGGCCCATACCATGACCAGGTGAGGCAAGCAGGACTGGCTGCGTGGTACAAACTGGATGATGGCCTACTGAGTCCTCCATAGCAGGAGTGAGGCAAAAACCTGGTGAGCCTCCAGCTGAGTTTATAGACTGAGTCCAACAGAGCATTCACCACAAGCTGCCAGCAGGGAACCTCTGAGATCAGTTTGTAAAGCTACTAGTCTGGGAAGGGATGAATTCAGACCACTACATGGCCTGTGCGGGATTGAGAGAGCATTCACTGAGCAGATGGGTGGTGACCTCACAGGTTGTGGGGATGCAACAGCACCAGTCCCAATCACTAGCTTTACCTTTACAGGCTCAGACATCTGCAATGACTGAGGCTAATGCCCAGGGGCTGGCAGCCCAGGGCCGAGGAACCCCAAGATCATCGGGGAGAGGGACTTGCAGGGTGTAGGGGGTAATTTCCCACCCCCCCCCAGCCGTTTGGCGGGGGGATTGTTGTAAGCAGTCCTTCTTAAAGTGTCTCTCTTGCAAGTCCCTCTCTCTGATGATCAACCCAACAGGTGACCTGGACAGTGATCAGCGCTGACAATGCAGAAATCATCAATAGACCACAAGAGAAGATGTACCTTTAACCTGGAGGCCTGACCTTCATTTTGATTACCACCCTATGTCATTATGTATGGACCATTTAATATTTCTGTAGGAGCAACTTATTTTGTGTTACTTGCTCTAATTGTTCTTTTACTACTTGCTTGTACAACCACCTTTTGTTATGCTTTCCTGTAAACATGTCTAAAATCTGCTCCAGAACAACCACCACCTCTGGACTCTGAAGTGGTAAAGACTGCTCTCCCATCCCTGGCTAATGCTAAAGGACTGCTAATGACATTGCTTGGCCTGGGAACGCTTTTGCTAATTGTTTTCTATGCCTTACTTGCTTTATACGTGCACTGCAAAACTCTTATGAGCTTAGCCAGCCAGTTACATAAGATCAAGCTCCAAGTGAATAAATTTCCCCCGATAGGGATCGCAGCCAGAGATGGATAAGAGGGGGTGTCAGTCTGGCCAACCTAAGACAGGGCCTTCAGCTTCGCTCTGAAGAAGTTCCCGATGACAGATCAGGCAGACAAGGTGATCCATCCAACCTAAGATAGGCGGGTTCGCTTCCTTAAACAAAGACAGGGGAGATGCTGGGAGCCATTTGGAGCTTAAAGTAAAGCTCAAAGTCATCTTGACCCCTGTGCTCACTTAAAGGCACGTACAAGGAACTGGCTTACTTAAAAGACACCAGGTGACCAGTATTGCTCTGCTATGTCTGCAATTGGTTTTAAATTTTCCTTATTTTTCTGCACTATAGTAGAATGGCAGTGTGGGCACCCACGAGGATGCACCATGCCGCATGTGTGGAACTCCCAATACCCAGGGTTCTCCCAGGTTCTGAAGAGGATGACCTTACGAGATACTGACTTTTATATATGCCCAGGAATTAATTGAACTGCTTTGGACATTTCTAACTGTCGTGGGATTGATGTTTATTATTGTCCTAGATGGGGATGTGAGGTAACTGGGACGGCCTCTTGGCTCATGCACAAGGGCCCTCCTTATCCTTGTCTGGTGAATCTCAACACCCAGACTTGCCTCAAACCCCCTGCATGGCCAATGCTATCCTTACCAATGGAATCCTTTTAAAATAACCTTTACAGCGGAGGGGAAAAGATAACTAACTTGGAGGTGGGTCTGCCATTAAAACAAAAAAGAGGGAATCTATAGAGCACATGGGCAGCAAAGATGACACTGAAGGGGAGTGGAGTGGGCAGAGCCCGATTTGCTTTACAGTAAGTAATCAGACCATGGAAGCTTAGGTGCATGATAGGGTGTGACCTTGACAGTGATTGGTTCCTCTTCCTCCCCTCCCATGCCACCCACTCTTTGTTGCTTTAAAAACGGCTTGCTCTGTGTTAATAAACGAGTTTCCCTGCTTGAGTTGACTCCCTGCTGCATCTGATTGTCTCCCAGGATGAGGGAGGCTGGGGAACGTGCGAGTGGCTGCACTTACCTTTCCTAGGACCCTGTCCATCTTTTGTGGGATGAATGAAGACCCGACAACATGGTAGGTGGGATTCTAACACAGCTAGCCACAACTCCTACTCTATCCAAATAGGTATTCAGCTTATGAATGGATGAATATTGTGCCCCACCCCCACTCCGGGGCTCAATCTCAAGTCCCGGGAACCCCCTAGCTCCTTAGTTGCTCACAGGCTGGTATCCTCACCTAGACCCTTTCGCCAATTGGGCCTGCTAAGCTCTGAGTTCAAATCCCAATACAGCCAAAAGATGAAACCTAATGTGAGAAGCCCATCGATCCACCTGTTTTCCTGTCCTGTGAATGTCCTGGGTCTCAGGGAGGATGGAGAATTCTAAATAGGCAACTCTATAACCATAGGAAAAATTTGTTATCTGTGTCAGCCCAGTTATGTCTGTCATCATACTCAATAAAACACAAATGCATCCATGACTAAGACACACAATAAAAAGAGTAACTACACTGAACTCATGATGCATTCCATACATATATGTAAATAGAGATCCTATGTGTAAAATAGGTGGGTACATTAATTTTTCCAGTGCTGGGGCTTCAATTCAGGACCTGTGACCTGGCCTGATATTGTAGTCTTCAAGGATGGTGAGCTTCCATTTCCCCCAGAGTGTTATAGATTTACCCAGAACTGAGTTGGAATCCCAGCTGTGGCAGAAAAATGGTGCGAGTTCTGAGCCAGGTTTTATTATTATTATTATTATTCCCAAGGAAAGGATTTGAACTCAGTTTGTGGTAACTCTGCCTCAGCTTCAATCACCTCAGGGTGGTGCGCTGCCATGGGCCCATTGCCGATCCTGGGATACTAGGCCCTGAAGTCTTGCAGGAAAACACACACACACACACACAAACACACACACACACACAGAGTATGATATATATATATATATATATATATATATGTATGTATGTATATATATATGTATATATATATATATATATATATATATATATATGGAGAGAGAAAGAGAGAGAGAGAGGAAAGCCGCGGGATGAATTTTTACATTTTGTTCCTTTCCAAGGTGACCATCCTGGGTCTTAATAACATGCCTACAAAGAGTACTTCACCTTGCATTGGTGAAGGATAGTGGGCTATTGAGGAAGCCATAGGCCCATGCAGCAATGTAGGCCCTGAGTTCGAGTCCTGGTCCTGACACCTACCAATATGTGGAATTCCCAAGATACTCGTTCTTATGCATCGAAATACCAATGGAACGTGAGCAAACTCATGATTAAATGAGAAGTTTCTGAGTGCATCAATGTCTAGTCTAAAATTAGATGCAATGATACTAGGACGCTGATTGATCTTAATGAATAGTCTATTAAGCATGAAAAGAATCCTATTCCTTCAGTGGTGGCATAATAACTACCTAAGAGTTGGTAGGAAAGTAGTTGATATACTTGAATCCTAGGCAGATGTCTCTGGTACTCTATACAAATATATATTTATTGGTATACTACCAGCTGCCTATCCATGTATGGCTATTTTGTCCAGTGCTGTGGCTCAATTACATGGTCTGGGAACTGCCTGGCAGCTTCGTGGGCTAGAGGTTGCCATGTTGACACACCCATTCATGAATTGGGTCTGCTAGGCCCTGAGTTCAGGTCCCAGCACTGCCAACAACTGGATCGTGGAGTAAGAAGTGGAGTGTAACACCTGTTTTCTTTTTCTCTGAGTGTCCTGGGTGTAATACATGAAGGAGAAAATGTATACAAATCTAGATATATGTGATATAATGTCATCAATATAATAAATGGAATGTCTGTTATCACAGTCAATAAAATAAGTGGTAAATAAATGAATAAAACAGAAATACAATAAATAACCACAACAAACAAGATATGGACTGAACATCTATAGGTAGGTACAAATCCTATCTTTACAATGTATATAAATAGTGTGTTTCCAAGGGCTGGGTCATGAATTCAGGCATAGGGAGCAGGCCTGACTTTCTTGTCCTCAAGCATGGTGAGCTTCCCTTTCATCCACAGTGCTGCAGAGTTACCCAGACCCTAAATTCAAATCCAAAGCCTTACAGATAAAACGGCAACAATTGCAAGCCAGGGAGTTTTTTTTGTTTTTGTTTTTTGGTTTTTTTTTTTTTGCCAAGCAAGGTCTTGAACTCAAATCATGGCAACTCTGCCTCAGCTTCCATCACCCTAGGCTGGGGTGCAGCCACTGGAACAACAGACGATCCTGGGATCCTAGACCTCCAGGCCTTGCGGGGGGGGGGGGGATGCACCGAAAATAAGTGGTGGGATGGTCTTTTTAGATTTTGCACCATGAC